GGCTTGGCACATGAAACCTAAACCTATGTGCACGATGTAGATTTAAATTCTTTGTTAGGCAGCCAACAGTACTTATCAGTATATCTGAATTTTCATATGTTCAAATTGTTTCATGATGAACTAAATCAGACAAGGAGGTTTGTATAAAACATTCTGATACAGTAAGTCATGCTTTTGTTTATTTGCTACAGCTTAGATTCTATTCATTTCTTAAGATAAGCATGTGACCCATATGCCTCCCTTGTGGGAAGGGAAAAAGATTCAAATTGGAAGTTAGGTCTTAATTATCATGTTAATGCTGATATGTGCATCAGTATGTTGTGAATCTCATGTCAATTTCCTTTATACACTAGAAAAGATTGTAGGAAATGTGTTATTTATTTAAACACTGAAAAACAATGGTATTGCAATCATGTATTTGATATCCTAGAACTGGAACATTTTCCTTTCTAGATATCACATTTCTCTAATCTGACCATTTCTTTTGATTTCGATCAACTAAAGGCTTATGCCCACTAAATAAGCTTGGATGGATAATTATGTAACATGCATCAAGGATCAATCAAGGATCAGTTTGGTCATCTTCTAAAATAAATGCATTTGTCTTCTGAAACACTGGCTTTGTTCTTGAAGTTTTCAACTTAATAATTGTTCTACATTGTGCCGATCATGGAAATATGAAACATTTCAAAAAATAAGCTTTTATCAGTTCTATGGAGGGTAATCATAGTGTGGTCGGTTCCTGTATTCATGGTGACTAATGTTGAGAATAACTGTTCATAATGCACTCGTAGGTTGTTTATTTACACCAATTACTTTTAGTTTTCTTCTGCACTTCAATGCAGTTATAATTTTATTCACATTCAGTGCTCTATAATATTTATCATATATTTGAAGTATGCATCTGCTCAATTGGCTTCTGAAGTTTGCAGTTAATTAATTTCTACATACACCTCTCTGAAAGGTCATACTTAATATTTTATGAGAATTTTGTTTGCTCAAAATAGAAAATTGAATAAAAAATACTAAGAATTGATTCGCTATGTTGAAACAATATTTTTATGTTGACATAAATTAGCACAATCATTATACATGTTTCTTTGGCTTGACACAGCGCATATAGGATTTTCTTCCTGTGTGATATTCGCCATGTTATATTTGAATTTTCCATGAACTTTAAGTTCTGTTTTCCATAGTCATCTTTTAATTATCCTTAAAGACTGATAGCTTGAGCTTTTATATTCTTTTTCGTAATAAATTCTATCACCTCAATATGTGCAAGAGCAATGGGTATCATATGGATGTACCATAGGTGTAGTTATTTACTTTCCTCATGCGTCAAGCTTACCTTGGTTGTATCATCAGTTGACATCAGAAAAACATTTTTTACTAATCGTGGAAACCTTTAAATTTATAGTTACTTATAGGTGCTAGATGATCTCTCTTCAAAATATCCTCCTATCTAGCATGCTTGCCGAGACAAGCTATTTTTGTCTTTTTGGTTTTAGTGATTTTTGTTCTTTGCATGTTACAAAATAATATATAGAATGAAATGATAATATCCTTGCAACCCGGATTCTTTCAGTTAGTTTTGTTGGTTAAATTGATAGCAAATAAATGTGCACTGTTAGTAATGCTGCTTCTTGTTCTGTTATGATGCTTTTCTATGAATCTAAGAAATACTGTTGTATTACTTTTTTACTTGAAATTAAAAGCTATCTACTCTCCTAAGAATCTTGAAGTGTGAATTCTTTAATTGATGGTGTATGCATGACAGTATTCAGAAAGTTGTCTTTACATTGTTGTGAGGTTTCATAAATATCTAGAATGAATATGTCGATTATCATATTTCTTGCCGGATGGTTCTCGTTCTATGAATCGATTGCTAGTTCTAAAAAAACATTATAGCAGAAAGGTTCAGATTCTCTGTTGGGCATTCTTAGCTAGATAGACCTGTTAATGTAAATTACAGTTGAAAACTCACCAATTACATTATGGGCACAAGCAACAGAACCGGCCCTGTAGGTTTGTTCCAGTCCAATAACGACTTGGATGTATAAATAGAAGAGAGTATTATTGTTTTGCAATTGTGTTTTTGTGATCCATCAGAAGTGAACAGACACGTTCAAAAATTGTACTTGATTTCATGAGGATACAACAATATCAAGTAGAGAAAATTTGCAGATATTTTTTTTCGTTTGACTTGATACATAAGTTTGTCTTATCTTAAGTCAACATAGAGCTATAGTATATGTTTTTCTCAAGGTTCATGATAAAGCAGTTTAAATAACCTCAATCTTTAACATGGAGATTCAATAACTTCTTTCAACTTTCAATATGAACTGAAATGCTTGTTTTCTTAGATCAGCTAAACCTTGTCAGAATTCTAGGGGTTTGTTGTGATCCATTAGAGAGAAGTGGTTGTACCCATACGCCATACAGGTTATAGTTCCATAAATAAGCTGGTAACAGTGTGTTCATTAGACTAACCTGAGGGGCAGTGCTGGTGTGTGAGATGTATAGCTTCTGGATTCGACATATATTTAATTTGTAGCAGCTGAGACTATGCTGATAGATTTTTTTATTTTATATTTGAAAGCTTTTTTCTCAAGAATTATTTGTGTTTGAAGCATCAGTCTGGAGGAATTAATCTAACTTAGACAAATGCGTATTGCCTGCGATGCATCTTTCAATGTAATTTATGTCTTATATTTTCTGCAGTACCAGATCTAAGAAGTTCTGTGCACAATTTGGTCAGTTCTGTATAGATCCTACCCATCAATATTGTTTTTGACAACAAAGATGCAAGGATAACAACACGTCTCCAAAGTGCATGCCATGCCCTTGCCTGATTATTTGTTTCAAGTTCTATTGGAGAGTTTAATTGATGGCTATGTTAATTTATGTGCATAGATTGTGGTAAACACGTATCATAGGACTTGCGAGATGCACCATTTGTATTTTTACTACAATAGTCTTTTCCGTTGTATGATGTCATTGGTATATTCTGCCAGACGAAGTGATTGGAACCTCGGAAGAAGATCAAAGTTGCGAGGACTTGGAATCATCTGAAGGCCAAGAATATGGTTCACGTGTGGCGGATTCTGACCTGAGGGAGATGCTGCAGAAAAAATACAGTGGCTATCTGAGTAATCTGCGCAAGGAATTCTTGAAGAAGAGAAAGAAGGGGAAACTGCCGAAGGATGCAAGGTTGATATTATTAGATTGGTGGAACACCCATTGTAGATGGCCCTATCCAACCGTAATCGCTCTGGCTGATTCTTTATTTAGTTTCTTATTGAGACTATTGGGTTAATATCCCTCACTTCTTGGACATGGTTTGCATAGGAAGAGGAGAAGGCAAAACTAGCTGAGAAGACTGGCCTTGAACAGAAGCAGATCAACAATTGGTTCATAAACCAAAGAAAAAGGCACTGGAAGCCATCCGAAGACGTGCGTTTCGCGTTGATGGAGGGTGTGAGTGATGGATCCAGTGGGACCATGTTGTGCTTTGGCAGTAGTACAACTGGTACTTAAGCAACACCGTGCTCCTCTTTCATTCTCTGCCCCTGCAAGCTGTTTTGTCCCACTGGCAACTTCTGATGTCCATGTGTACATGTTTCTTGGACAAGTACAAACTTCTGATGTCCATGTGTACATGTTTCTTGGACAAGTACAAATGTTATTAGCTTGCATTGCATGTTATCAGGGGCGTATAATGTTTGAACTGACGGGGCTATATATTAGCCTTCTCTGTGGTTTGCTTGATTAACTTGGAAGTATAATGTTCTGCTAATCCATGTTAATATGCTTTCCTTTATTTGCCTCAATTTGTGTCTATGAGGCCTGCTAAATTGAACTTGAGTTCAATATCCAAATATGAAAGATGTGAAGAGCTACACTGAATCACTAGCACTCTCTATATATTAGTCACTGTTTGGGTTACAGTTTTGCAGTGTTCATTTGCAAGTGCCAAGTTAATACCTTTTCTGAAAATTCAGAAGCTTCTGAGATTAATCATATTGAAATGCTTCCAACCGATAAGTTTTGGAGTTAAAAAGTAGGAGGTAGAGAGATTTATAATCCCTTGAAATCATTTTGTCAGTGCATGCTTCAATTTTAGGCGAATGTCTATTTGTCTTGCAGGTTTATGAATGCTTGAATTCTTCCATCCTTTGTTTTATTCCTTCCTAGGAGGGCTTCAATGACTTCGTAGCATCATTTGAGATTTCAATATGGAAATTAATTAAACTAGACTCATCTAATCCTATAAACCAACTGAAACTTCTCACTTTCAATATAGAAATTAATTAGGGTGTTAAAATTGAGATTATTCTTTTAAGAGTATTTCTAATGGACTTTCAATATAGAAATATAAAACTAGGTTTCTAATTGTGCTTAGTATTGCATAAGTATTATACAAGTCTACTCTCATCTGTAGAATGCCACTAGCATATCGATAGATGTAAAGGACACAACTCAAGGTTGACGTCAAAGTCACTTAGGAAGGATGATATATCAGGGCTTAAGTTCAACTTATGGATAACTTGTATAATTATTTTTTTATATCTAAAATATTAATATGATGATATATCAGATGAGAGGATTTGAAATCTTATGTGTTATATTTTTAATACCTAAAATATTAGTGTAGTAGTAGTGTATTAGGATGGAAGGTTCGAGATCATCTGATATATTTATTATAATTAAGTCATCATTAAAGTAGTAATCTATTAGACTCATTTATCAAGAGGTGAGCATTCGAAATCTCATCCGATATATTTTTTTAAGATGTTAATTAGCTTGATTAGTAAAGACTTTGTTTGATTGTTATTATTAAGCCTTCTTATTAAAACTTTTATTTATCATTTATTTTTTTATAAAAAAAATTTATATCCAAATATATCTCAAATATGATTACAGGGTAGCTGAGTTCAGTTTAATCCATGTGTCTTTCCACGTCTCAGTTTCTTCAAAATAATACATGTGTAGAAATCAAAATGTCATCGTTGTGAGTCGAAATCAAGAAAAGGAAAAGCTCCATGTGTATCATTCCGTCATGACATCTTGAAGGCTTATCGTTATCATATCCATACATCTTGCTTGTCATTACCTGTCTGCTCTGTTTGGATTCGATTCAGCATCATATTATGAACAGTGGAAGTCTTTATCATCAAAGCCACCATTTTTCAAAATATGATTAAACATAAATGAAAGAAAAATGATACAATTTGAATTTTAGATATTGTTACCAAGATTTTTATTTTTCTTTATTTTGAGTCTTTATCATCATCAAAGTCTCAGATTTATAGGACATCCGGAGTTTTATCATCTAACAAGGTTGCAAGTTATCATCTAACAACCTTGTTTTATCATCTGACAAGGTTGCAAGTTATTGCAAGTTTTATCATAAAAAAAAACACTTGGCATCGATGTTATCTCTGCTAACAAATATCATCTTCTTCCCCTATCTACCTCAATATTCTGAGGCAAGTTTGGTACTTGAACTTAGATATCAGTGCCCTAGATTTTTGTGCCTACATCGTATGATACGTGGTAGATATAATTTGCACTGGATCTCATAATAGCATTCACAGAGGGTAGATGTTTTTTGGGCCATCTTTGGGAGAGCAGAAACAACAACAAAAGCCCCCACAGACGCCTTCTCTTTTTAGCTTTGACGCAAGAGGGATGGAAGCAAAAAGATGGAGCTGCTGCTGCAGGAGATCTCCTTACTCGTATTTGCCAAACCTAAACATTTTGGACTTGGAGATCTCCGTTAAGTATTTCCACTCTCCAGTCTTGTATCTCACAAACCTTTTTGAGCCAGCAAGCGTAGATAACAAGTATTTGATCACCGAGTATACAAAGCTTAGCTCAACTAATCACTATGGCAGGCTTTGTCTTACTCAGCATGTACATCTGAGACAAGACTTTTCTTTTACTGCAATTATTATGGCAGATTTTATTGCAATGAAAGATTAGTCCATACATCGAAACAACAGAAAAATGCCACTTATTATTCCCCGACACATCAAGAACTAAAAAGAAGATAACAGTAGACCGTCTTATAAAAGCACACAAAAAGGAGCCAAAAGACATGCAGTAGAATGATGTGTCATAACCCAGTCACACAGCTTCTTCAGTTCCCCCATGCATTTAGCCTCAGGAGGGCAGCTCCTCCAGTGTAATCTCTTCCATGATGCTTCCTTGACCGAAGTGATGGAAACCCTGCATCATCTCACAGCACTTGCAGGGCCTCATCACCGCTGCACCCGCCGCATGGCCGCCGTGCGGCTTTCTCGCAATGATCACCGAGTTTATGACCTCGTCGGTCGGGTGGTGCACTGTCAGCACCTCGAACCCTCTCAAGTCAGCCGCCGGATCCACCACCGGGTACAGGAAGGCCCTGGCTCCGTGCGCGCTTCGCGCCACCAGGACGGCGCCCGGGGCCATGTGGTGCGCGAGGTGCTCGATCACCCGGACCTTGTCGTCGTGGCTGATCCCCACCAGCGCCGCCAGGAACACCACGTCGTAGCCCCTCAGCTCGTGGGTCACGCCCAGGATGTCCGCCGTGTGGAACTCCATGCGAGCGGCCATGTCCGGGTCGCCACGCACCAGGAGACGAGCCCGAGCATTGGCCGCGGCGTCCAGGTCGTAGTTATGGAGCTGCGCTTCCTGCATGTGTCGCGCGGCCAGCACGAAGGAGCTCAGCGGCAGAGGGCCGGAGCCAACGAACGCCACCCGGGTCGGCGGCGAGCTCGGCACGTACGTCGCCAGGAGGGTGTACTCCAACTGGCTGAGCTTGAGATAATTGGAGTAGTAAGGGAAGAGGTCGAAGTGGTCAAGAGGGTTGTCATAACAAGCCAGCATATCAGAGTAGTGGCTCTCCATGAGGCCTTCGGCCTCTCCACAGAGCTTGATGAGCTTGCACCTCATGTCTTGCACCTCTTTGCTTAGCTTGGATACATCAGTGGAGACTGGAGGGATGCATGTGAGGACCAGCTCCGTGAAGAGCATGTCCACTTCCTTGGACGGGCACAGGCTGGGAAGATTTGAGATGTCGCCATAGATCTCTGAAATCTTTTGGATTAGCATCTCTTCTTGGTTGCCCATGGCAAGGTTAGCAATCAGCCAAGCTAGCACACAAGACACCTCTCTGCCACAAGCCCTGAGCTGTGTTGGACTCTATTTATAGGCATCGCAGCGTGTGGACTACGCCTTGTGGATCCATGAATGGATGGATAGAATGGAAAGGGGTGCTCCTCTCGACTGTGGCACTTTCTCGGCCTTCCTTGTGACTGACGCAATTGCAACAGTAACAACTCGGACAACACATATCTCTTAATTACAAAGAACATAAATGTGGGTCAACCTTGGCAATTTCCTAGTAATGCTGTTGTGCTATTGTTTGAGAAGTGCAGTATTGAACTGATCATGATCAATCAATTTATCAACTCTACAATCTAATACCCTTCGATTCCATCAAGATCGTAGAGTTGATATTTCCCACTCATATTATGGAACATTTATGTGGTCAGGGTGAGCATGATCCAAATGCACATAAAGTTTGCGAGAACAAAAATCTAGTTCTTTTGGTTGACAGAAACGATGCTCGATGAAAAGGAGATGGAACCATTGGAGGGTCATGGTTGGCTGAACTATTGAGAGGTCTTTGTGAGTCTTTGTGAATGGCCCATTTCATGCCTTCTCTAACGGTGAAGAGCAACCCCTCACGTCAAATATACTGTACATGCTGCGGAATATTTATGTGTTCACACTGGATCGTATTTAAATAATTTGGGGGGGGGGGGGGGGGGGGTTCAAACTAATTAGTATTGCTTTATGCATACACGATATCTTTTTGTATTTCATTAATAATAAATTTTAATTTTAATTTATTATATTAATCTATTGATCACCCCACCAAAATTGTAGAAAGTAGCTTTCACAACAGCTGATTGCTGAAAGGAAACAAAGTTTTGGGAAGTAATAAAATCTAAATAAGGGATACTCTTTTGTTCCAATTTGCCAAAGGTGTTTTCCATGGCGTGGATAACAAGAACAACAAAATCTAGCAGCACATGGTGTCAAACATAACAAAACGACAGGGATCTCTCTGTCTGAAAACAAAGAGGGCTGTTGGACGCTGCAGTCTCTGTTGATGAGCACATAGATATGTGAGTAGTGGGTCAGGAGTAAAGTCACTTTACTGTAATTATTGCACTGCACGAGTTGTAGTTGTAGCTGCATCATCTCACGAGAATTATAATGATTAGAATTGCTAGTTGCATCTTGCATACTCGAAGTTCTTAGACATTATCATTGAAGATTAGAGTTTGTTTACTAAATAATTTTTTTAATTATATAATCTTATTTCTATTATAAATATGATTGAATTGTTAATGATTATTGATCAAAAGACAAGAAGTATAATTATGATAGAATTCTTTAAAAGATGATCTTGATGGGAGGATCTTTCGTAATTGTTTATCTTCAATCTTCTAAACCCTTTGCTCTCGTCTATAAAAAGATAGGACTGATAGAATAAATGATGAAGAAGACGTTTTTATGTTTGATATGTGCTCCCTATTTTATAGAGGGAGAATTTCCATCAACAGTGAGATTTTCTCATGTAGTTTGGGAAATCTTAGTTGTTATCATGCCTTCGTAAGATGGTGCTCCTATCAAGGATGTCGATCTTTGACCAATGCGATGAAAATAGTTTGGGGTGAGAGGCTTCGTGAGTAAGTCTGCTAGTTGATCAACTGCATTATGTGAGAAACACGTAGTTGATGTCTGACAACTTGATCTCGCACAAAGTGAAAGTCAATGGTAATGTATTTCATGAGTGAGTGGAATACTGGATTGGCGCACAAGTAAGTAGCATCTGTTGAATCTCGGATTTTGATGATGAAGTCAATTGTCATTTGTTATCTAATCTATATGCTGAGATAAGTGTGCAGGATTAACTACGATGAAAGTAAGACATGCAGCAGGATTTGCGCCGGAGTTAAGACAATGATCACGTTGGGAGTTCGAGAGTTCGACGGAAGTTCGAACAGTCATCGGAGGTTCTGCGGGAACAAATCCGAGAAGTCCATAAGCTTGCTAAAGAAGCTCGTCGGAACTCGCCAAGTGAATCGTCGCAAGTCCAGGAGTTTGCCGGAAGTCCGCAGGAGCATCACCGAGGGTTTATCGGATGATCGACGGAAGTTCGCCGGAAGCTCGCCAGAAGAAGCGATTGACGCATCGGAGCAAGTTGCAGTAAATGTCTTAGGGAATATCGTAGTTAGCACAATGATTAAGTTGGAAATGAGAGGTGATCCCATTAACTTAATCTTGGGGCAGTTGGGCCCCTGAAAAATCCGAATTGGGCCGAATGGATCAACCCATTCGGACCCTGATTTCTGCCAGGCGGTTGAACCGCCCAAGGCAGGAGGTTGCACCGCCTGGGCTCAGTCTCCGAGCGAGACTGGGAGGTGCAACCGCTCCAGCCAAGCGGTGGCACCGCCTGGGCTCAGTCTCCGAGCGAGACTGGGCGGTGCAACCTCCCCTGACAAGAGGTGGCACCGCTTGAGCTCGGTCTTCGAGCTCTGCCAGGCGGTGCAACCGCCTAAGTCAGGAGGTGCAATCGCCTGAGCTCGGTCTTTGAGCTCTTGCAGGAGGTGCAACCGCCCCTGACAGGAGGTGGCACCGCCCAAAGGCTCAGTCTTCGAGCTCTGCCAGGCGATGCAACCGCTCTAGTCAGGAGGTGCAACCGCCTGATCCCGGAATTCCGGGAATTGACAGTTTTGAGCTCCAAATTTGAACTGGGTTGGGGCCTATAAATACCCCACCCATTCAGCACTGAAAGGGTATGAACTTACACCGAAATCTTGATCTTTTTCTGTGATTCTTAGAGCTCAAAATTGTTGTAAAGGCCAAAAGTTCTGAGTTGTAAAGAGAGGAGAGAAAATTTTGTAAGGGTTGTCTCCTAAGCCCGTCAAAAGGAGTGAAACTATAAAAGGGTGGTTGGCCTTCGCCTATTGAAGGAAGGCCTCTAGTTGACGTCGGTGACCTCGTCGGTGGAGGAAGCCAAAAGTGGAGTAGGTCAAGATTGACCGAACCACTCTAAATCTCGGTTTGCATTTACTTTGAGCATCTTATCTTTACTGCAAACCTCCTCAATAGCTTACTGCCTTCTGTGTTTTTACGAACGTGTTTCAAAGTTCATTGCTTTCCGAATCGGGGTTTAAGACGCAAATCAGTTTTATCGTACGAATGTTGTATTTCAGTTTGCGCTTATGTTCTGATTTCCATTATAACTGCAAACTGCCTTTATATCTTTGCTTTAACTGCATCTCGCCTTATCTCAAGTTAAAGTGGTTTACGAATCAGCTTTCTTACCAAAATCACTTCTATCGAACGAACGCAGTTTTCGATTTTAATCGCAGAAGGTTTTCCGCTGCACTAATTCACCCCCGCCGCCCTCTTAGTGCTCTTGATCCTAACAATTGGTATCAGAGCGGGGTTAACTCTCTAACGGATTAAAACCCAAGAGAGATGGCATACGTCGGAAACCAAGAGGGCCATTCTATTACACGTCCATCCATGTTCAATGGGACGGACTACACCTATTGGAAGACCCGAATGAGGATCTTTCTTATTTCTATGGATTTTGAACTTTGGAATCTTGTCGAAAACGGATTTTCGAAGTCTTCTCTTCCAATGATCGATTGGAATGAATTGGAGAAGAAGGCTTTCGCTCTTAATGCAAAGGCTATGAATGCCTTATTTTGTGCACTTGATAAAAACGAATTTAACTGTGTTTCGACTTGTGAAATCGCATTTGATATTTGGCACACACTCGAAGTGACTCACGAAGGCACAAGTAGAGTGAAAGAGTCAAAAATCAATCTTCTGTTACATTCTTTCAAACTTTTCCGGATGAAACCAAGTGAGACCATTGGCGACATGTTTACCCGTTTCACGGATGTCGTCAACGGTCTAAAAGGACTCGGAAAAAGTTTTTCGGATTTTGAGCTCGTAAATAAGATTCTAAGATCCCTTCCTAAGAATTGGGATCCTAAAGTCACTGCTATTCAAGAGGCGAAAGATCTAAGCAACTTCCCTCTTGAAGAACTAATCGGGTCATTAATGACCTACGAGATGACCTGCGAAGCTCATGAAGAGCAAGAAGACATCCTTCCAAAGAACAGGAAGGATATGACACTTAGAACTTCAGAAGACCACTTGAGAGAAAACTCAAGTGATGAGGACTGTGACGATGACTTGACACTTCTAACAAGAAAATTTAAAAAGTTCATTAAAAGAAACAAGTTTAAGAATGACGCGAAAAATAAACTTGAACTCAAAAAGGACCAAGTTATTTGCTAGGAGTGCAAAAAGCCGGGACACTACAAGAGTGATTGTCCCCAAGCCAAAAAGAGAACATCAAAGAAGAAGGTGCTCAAAGCAATGTGGGATGACTCGA